TGTTAGAAAACGATTTTGTTAGTCAATGTATCGTACTAAACCCTCTGTACAACACAGACTGAATGACGAACAAAATCGTTTTAATGTATCGTACTAAACCCTCTGTACAACACAGACTGAATTACTAACAAAATCGTTTTAAGGTATCGTACTAAACCCTCTGTACAATACAGACTGAATGACTTACAAAATCGTTTTAATGTATCGTACTAAACCCCGTGTACAACACAGACTGAATTATTAACAAAATCGTTTTAATGTATCGTACTAAACCCTCTGTACAACACAGACTGAATGACTAATAAAATCGTTTTAATGTATCGTACTAAACCCTCCGTACAACACAGACTGAATGACTAACAAAATCGTTTTAATGTATCGTACTAAACCCTGAATGACTAACAAAATCGTTTTAATGTATCGTACTAAACCCTCTGTACAACACAGACTGAATGACTAACAAAATCGTTTTAATGTATCGTACTAAACCCTGAACGACTAACAAAATCGTTTTAATGTATCGTACTAAACTCTCCGTACAACACAGACTGAATGACTAACAAAATCGTTTTAACCCACGAGACTGATCATCAAGTTATTGATTTGTATAACAATGAACGGAGGAGAGATGATTATCACATAACAATGAATGCACATTTTCTAAGCTATAATATTAAATAATTCGATTATCTTTTAATTTCATTGTGCAGTGTACTTAACGGATTATTGTTATCCATAATACTGGATATTTAATACCTTAAATTGTCTGTGAGAATACTTTTATATTGCTGTTACCGCTAATGCTAATATGATTGCATTATAATTGAGTTTTTCTTTAGAACGTGTTGACTCTATGGTCTACTTAGAGGACTACCCATTGTACGAACTAATACTTTAATTGCTTAACACTTCTTGAACTATCGGTTCCGGTGATGAAAGGAATTGGTTACCATAGTAACAACGAAATGTACATCTGGACTCCATATCCATAGCCGAGCATGCGTGGTTATGATTGTACAATACTGGTGATGCGGGCAGGTACTTCAGTAAGAACTTTACCTGTGTCCGACTAACTGGTGAACACTACTTCTCCAGAGACTCGAGAATGGTAGGGGAAAACTTATTCTCTTTTGTTCTTTTCTTCAAACTTTTATACGCGTTCTTTCGAAGGTCAGTTCTTTCTTTAATTTGCTGAGATCGTCCTGTTCACGAGTTCTTACAGACGATGACGTCCGTATCGAGTGTCGCCCCTACAGGAACGTTCTAATGTTTGTGTGAACCAGAAGTTTCAAATTAACTGAAATTTAAACTAATCTAGAATGTTTAACAAGTATTCTAATATCCTGCTTCTTGTGCGTCATTGATATTCTTTTAACAGGGGCTGGTAAATTATTGTTAAAGATATGTTTTAATATCCTGCTTCTTGTGCGTCATTGATATTCTTGTAACTATAGCTGGTAACACATTGTTACAGATATGTTTTAATATCCTGCTTGTTGTGTGTCATTGATATTCTTGTAACAGGAGCTGGTAACTTATTGTTAGAGATATGTTTTAATATCCTGCTACTTGTGTGTCATTGATATTCTTGTAACAGGGGCTGGTAACTTATTGTTACAGATATGTTTAATATCCTGCTTCTTGTGCGTCATTGATATTGTTGTAACATGGGCTGGTAACATATTGTTAGAGATATGTTTTAATATCCTGCTACTTGTGTGTTATTGGTATTCTTGTAACAGGGGCTGCTAACTTATTGTTACAGATATGTTTAATATCCTGCTTCTTGTGCGTCATTGATATTATTGTAACATGGGCTGGTAATTTATTGTTACAGATATGTTTTAATATCCTGCTACTTGTGTGTCATTGATATTCTTGTAACTATAGCTGGTAACTTATTGTTAGAGATATGTTTTAATATCCTGCTTCTTGTGTGTCATTGATATTCTTGTAACATGGGCTGGTAACATATTGTTACAGATATGTTTTTAATATCCTGCTACTTGTGTGTTATTGATATTCTTGTAACTATAGCTGGTAACTTATTGTTACAGATATGTTTTAATATCCTGTTAGCTGTGTGTTATTGAAATTCTTGTAACAGTAGTTGGTAACTTATTGTTTTTTTTTTTGGTTATTAAATATTTTCTTCATTTCTTTTTCTCTGATGATTGTCCAAGAATGAAGTGGAATCTACGTTACTTTGATTTTCCTCCAGAAGGCGCTAATGATAAGCTAACTTGTCATAGCTCGACATTACTAATGACTCAGTGATATGTAAAATACAGGATATGTAAAATTTAATGTGTGTGTGTGTGTGAATTAACATTCACTTTATTTGTACCAAATACTAAATATCGTTCTGTTAACAATAGAGAAGAACCTGCCTTATAACCTCACATACTGGTGGACAAGAGACTGTTTCCACGTTCACAGAGTTGACAACCTACAATCACTGCGCATGTGCGAGCTAGTGCAACTGCGACAATAATTTTCTACAGACTTCTGCGAGTACAAATAGAGTCACTATAACGAAATCTTAATATAAGGATAGCATAAGTTCGGGTAAAGAGTAAGGAATAGTGCTCATTACATTCTTAATATAAGGATAGCATAAGTTCGGGTAAAGAGTGAGGAATAGTGCTCATTACATCCTTAATATAAGGATAGCATAAGTTCGGGTAAAGAGTAAGGAATAAGGGAGAGTGCTCATTACATTCTTAATATAAGGATAGCATAAGTTCGGGTAAAGAGTAAGGAATAGTGCTCATTACATTCTTAATATAAGGATAGCATAAGTTCGGGTAAAGAGTAAGGAATAAGGGAGAGTGCTCGTTACATCCTTAACATAAGGATAGCATAAGTTCGGGTAAAGAGTAAGGAATAAGAGAGAATGCTCATTGCATTGCTTTTTCATAAGATAACTTGAATTATAGAAATGAAATAATACTTTCTAAATAAGTTGGTTACTTACCAAATGGTCCCTCAATTTATCAGCCACGTAAATCTCTAAAATCAGCATATTTTTAATAACATTTATTACAATCAACCAGATAACTTAAGGTTAACCAACCAGTGAATGTAACATCATTATATATAAGTTATTACTTGTCAGTTAACCAACCAGTGAATGTAACATCATTATATATATAAGTTATTACTTGTCAGGTTAACCAACCAGTCAATGTAACATCATTATATATAAGTTATTACTTGTTATGTTAACCAGCCAGTGAATGTAACGTCATTATATATAAGTTATTACTTGTCAGGTTAACCAACCAGTCAATGTAACATCATTATATATAAGTTATTACTTGTTATGTTAACCAACCAGTGAATGTAACATCATTATATATAAGTTATTACTTGTCAGGTTAACCAACCAGTGAATGTAACATCATTATATATAAGTTATTACTTGTGAGGTTAACCAACCAGTGAATGTAACATCATTATATATAAGTTATTACTTGTCAGGTTAACCACCAGTGAATGTAACGTCATTATATATAAGTTATTACTTGTTATGTTAACCAGCCAGTGAATGTAACGTCATTATATATAAGTTATTAGTTGTCAGGTTAACCAACCAGTGAATGTAACATCATTATATATAAGTTATTACTTGTGAGGTTAACCAACCAGTGAATGTAACATTATTATATAAAAGTTATTACTTGTCAGGTTAACCACCCAGTGAATGTAACGTCATTATATAAAAGTTATTACTTGTCAGGTTAACCAACCAGTAAATGCAACATTGTTAAATGTAAGTTATTACTTGTCAGGTTAATTAACCAGTGAGTGTAATATCATTATATATATAAGTTATTACTTGTTATGTTAACCAACCAGTGAATGTAACATCATTATATAAAAGTTATTACTTGTCAGGTTAACCAACCAGTAAATGCAACATTGTTAAATGTAAGTTATTACTTGTCAGGTTAATTAACCAGTGAGTGTAATATCATTATATATATAAGTTATTACTTGTTATGTTAACCAGCCAATCAGTGTAACATCATTATATATAAGTTATTACTTGTTATGTTAACCAACCAGCGAATGTAACATCATTATATATAAGTTATTACTTGTTATGTTAACCAACCAGGGA